TTCAGAATGGTTTGATCCCTATTCAGCTGAATTCCTGAGACCAGACGAAATCCAGGTCTCCTACTCCTCCGCCATCTTGCTCCGCCTCTTCCGCTCACCTGGGTTCTTAATGCTGTCCATTAACTGTGTTTCCTGAGTCACCTTTCATTCCTATTTCAGCAATTGCAAACCTTTACTCTGCTCCCCAAGCTACCTACCTCACCACCACTCCTTTACTCCCAGCAGGTGAACATGACACGGCTCTCCCTGTTTATATAAAGACCAACAGGAAGGACTCTCTTTCATTTCTTCCTCTCCTGATTCCTTTAAGTCTCTCTCTCCCTAGCTCAGTTGCCTACATGGATCCATGGATCATGGATCTCATTTCTAGGCTCCTGTTTGTCCCCTGCCCCTATCACATTGGAGCTAGCTCTCCATCTTTCTATTTAATTTTTAAAAGATTTTATTTATTTAAGAGAGAGAAAGAGTGCATGAGCAGGAGGGAGGGGCAGGGCAGGCAGAGGGAGAAGCATACTCCCTGCTGAGCAGGGAGCCCGATGCAGGACTCCATCCCAGGACCCCGAGATCATAACCTGAGCCAAAGACAGATGCTTACCTGACTGAGCCACCCAGGTGCCCCTCTCCATCTTTCTAAAGAGAAGCTCACCATCTGTGACCTGAATGGCATTTCCCCTTTCTTATGTACCCCACTGTACTAATCATCTCTTCTTCTTCCTGTAAATTCACCTTCTCTTCTTGACTACTGCTCTTCCTTTATAATCCACGCATCCTCCCAACTCCTGGCAAGGATCTTAGTACGCTCAGTCTCTCCCATCTCAGGGGATCCATGTCCTTCTTAAGTTACAATCCTTTCTCTCTCTTCCATTTCACAGTTTGGCTTCTTTAAAGGGTTATTTATACTCACTTTCCCTTTCTCAGCTCCCATTTGCTCTCATTCTAATGTAGTCTGGCTTCTGCTTTCATGGAAATCATTCTCCCCAAGATCACTGATGACTCCTTTTTACATCTCAGCCATATCTCATTTGAGTCCTCAGCATCATTCAACACCACTGGCATGCCTTCTTGAAATGTTTTCTCTCACAATCTCTTATTTCCCCTGCATTTCCTCCCATCTCTCTGCTCTATTCCACAGTTTACATCTTCTGTATTTCTCTTAATACGTATTAGTCTTCTTCCATGCTCTACTTCCAGTCTCATCATTGTGCACACATATCCCCAGTGACTTCATCCACTCCTGGTTTCAATGACCAACTACTTGTTGATGACTGTCAGCACTTTATCACCAGCCAAGATCAGATATCCAGAAACCCATGGGACAGACCTATGTGAATGGCCCAGAGGCACTCCAAACTCAACACAACACAAACTAAAATAATAATTTCTTCTCATCCCTAAATCCATTTCTGCTCCCATCTTTTAGATATTGGCACCTTTACCTATCTAGGTGTTTATTCCCAGAACCTGAGACATTTCCTTGACTAAAACTTTTTTTTAAGATTTTATTTATTTATTTGACAGAGGGAGAGAGAGAGCGAGCATGAGCAGGGGGAGCAGTAGAGGCAGAGGGAGAAGCAGGCTCCCCGCTGAGCAGGGAGCCCGATTTGGGACTCAATCATAGGATCATGACCTGAGCCGAAGGCAGATGCTTAACCTACTGAGCCACCCAGGTGCCCCTAAAACTTTTATCCATATATAACCATATGTGAGTTGGGTTCTGTCCATCCCCCCATCTCTCTTGCCCAAGACAGTGGAACTTCTACATAATTATTGTACAAACTCTGCACCGTCCTATCTAGAGATATGGAGGCCAAAGAGAACCAGCAGTAAAACCTAGTGGTCACATATTGGCCATGGAGACGATGCGAGGCTGGAAATCCCTGCTCTTAGTGTCTCTCCCTCCAACCTCAATTGTCTGTTATCCCAGAGTGGGCATGAGCTGGTCTACCTGCCCCCATCATTACTTTTCATTTTTCCTACCCTGTCCCTACCTGGAACAGAGGCTTTGATATTTGGAGAAGTCCCAATAATCTGACAAAGAGTGTATTCCCTCAAAGGTGTGCTGTTACAGTACTGAGCAGTATCCTGCTCAGAACCAGGGTCTTAATTGCTCCTCTGATCCAGGAGCAGGGCTGGGAATGTTGTTGAGCCTGCATAGGACAACAGCCTGCCCACAAAGGGTGAGAGGCTCAGACACCCTCAAGTCCTGTCTTCCAGTCCCCCACAGGGGAAATAAAAGCCTTCCAAACATTGTGGGATAAAGGAAGGAAGCTATATAATGCATCATCTCCCAGGATGACAACCGTTTTTAAGAGCTGAGCTTCCTGAGAATTCACTGAAATTCCCTCATGGCAATCGGACTTGTGAGATTTTTGCAGGCTGGTGGGTTTTCTCAGGGTGCAATCATGCCGAACCAGCCAACGCTCACAGCAGTGGGACTCCTTAGCTTCGGGGCAACCGCACACGCTGGCTGAGGATGAAGTCTGAGCTACCATCCCCCGCATGGAAGACGAGGCTGGGCACAGACTTAATGCTCATCAGACTTCCATGGAGTTGAGTTGTCAAACGCACCTCCCAGAAGGTGGGAACTCCCTAACACAGGGTGTGAGCTGGTCGACTCAGGAATCCCGCCTCGCTGGACTTTCTAGAAGGAATTTGGGAACATGGAAAAGGTACTTGGGAATTCTGACTTTGTGTTTTTTGTTTTTTGTTTTTTTTTTTCCAAAAACTCGCGACTCAGGGGCTGGGAGGAGGGCCTTGCCGCCCAACCTTGGCCGACAGGGCAGTTTTACCTTCTTCTCAACTTCGGCGGCTGTCTGCTTGGTGGTCTCCAGGTTCTCCACTAAGGCCATGTCCCCCAGGAAGTTCCCAGATGCTGAGGAGAGGCGAGATAGCAGATTGTCTTCTAATGTCTTCAGGGTGATTTTGAACCCATTCTGCTGCTTCGTGAGATCTGACTGCAAACATCAAGTAAGGCAGAGTCAGATGTGGAAGCCCTGAGCATCCTGAATAAATAAATGCTACGGGGTCAAGTTTCTTCCTTCAGATGGATGAAGCGGGAGACAGGATAGCATGAGAACAGACAAGCAGATGAACTGAATCCCAAATGCACCATTTATTAGTCATGTGACTTTGGGCTAGTTTAGCTTCTTCTTCTTTTTTTAAATATTTTATTTATTTGACAGAAAGAAAGAGAACACAAGCAAGGGGAAAGGCAGAGGGAGAGGGAGCAGCAGACTCCCCGTTGAGCAGGGAGTCCGACACGGGACTCGATCCCAGGACGCAGGGATCATGACCTGAGCTGAAGGCAGACGCTTCACCGACGGAGCCACCCAGGCGCCCCACCTTCCTGGTTTAAATTAGCCCCTTGGCTTTTTAATATCACGCTACTTTATTTTCTTGGAAAGTCTTGTCATTACCTCGAATGACATTATTTGTCTACGCTATTTATTTTCTGTGCTCCTCCACTAGACTATAAGCTCTGTGAGGGTGGGAACATGGTCCCCCAGTCCGTGGTATTTTGTTACAGCAGCCTAAGTTGACTAAGACACTCTCCTCACATGGTGGTTACTTCTGGACTCATGTGTGGGCCCAAGCACGTTCATAACCCTGGGCCAGGCTCTGCTCTTGGTGACAAGAGTGTCTGGTCTCCCAGCTGTCTTCGGCCTCTCTGTTCTTCATCTTGCTCCAGTCTCTGTTTCCCAAATGGACATTCAGGCAGCTAAATGGTGATGGCCAGCCCCCACCACCCCCCAAAGTCTAGCAAAGAACCATGCTGCTCAGCTCCAGGAAAAGCAGCCCCCCCCCACCCAGAATGGGGAGCAGGATCTAGTGGCCGAGCATTTTCATCCTCCCTTCCTTGGTGGATACCCCACGTACCTTCAGCTGCTCCAGGTCCGGCCTCTCCATGCTGACCACAGCGGCCAGCAGCTGGTCCTCCAGGCCGTCCCTGGTCACCGTGAAGTTGATCAGGGTGGCCTGAGCCTGCAGTTCGGGCTGGTAGTGAGGATTGGCTAGCTTGGTGTGAAGGATGAGCCGGAACCTGGGATTGTATTCACACTCTTTGTCTCCGATTTTAATGAATCTGGAACACGAAGGGTCATGTGAAGGTGGGGTGCTTTCCCATGAGAATCGGTTCAGGGACAGAATTCTAGATGTTTTTCTGTGAGATCGTAGCAAGCAATATTGCCACATTCGGATTCCCCCCAAGCATGTCTAGATTGAGCCCTGAGATCCTTGTTTGCCTTAATGTGGGGCATGGGAGTGGAGGGTGAGAGACTTTCTTGCGTGGCCACCATGTTTGATTTGACGTGCATGGCTGTTGGGAGAGCCATTCACACTGTAGTCCAGGTAGGTTGGTACATTATGAAACTTTCCCAGCAGATGGCAGTAAAGCGTTTGCAGAAAAGGACACCATCAGTTCGCACAAAGGTGCTTGATAGGCTTGCAAAAATAGGGCGTCCTTTTTTTCATGGCTGATGGAGAACTGTGGGTGGAAATAGTTAATTCAGCAAATGAGCACATCCTAAGGACATGGACAGGCAATTTATGGCCTGGGCAGTGGGTAAAGCAACCCTCCATGATAATGTTCTCTCTCCTATGTGCCTATTGTCCTTCATCCTCTCTCATCCTCTCCCTTCTGCCAGACACTTGCTAAGCCTTGATCACTTGCCAGCCCCCAAAGCAACAGGGGCTCATCAAAGGGCCAGAGCACTGAGTTCTCAGAACCCAGGAGTCTAGCTTGGATAAAATGCTCATGCTTACAAGGCAGTCTGCGTTTTGACCACTTCCTTTCTAGAATTCCTCCAAAAGAGTGCACTGTTCCCATGTAGGAGGAAGTCAAGGAGGACGTGACTGATGGGAGCAAAGTTATTGCAGGAAACTTTCTCTACGAGTCAAGGGCAGCTAAGTATTCCCCTTGCGGAAGCGAGAAAGGTGTGCGTGCTGCAAGAAGCCTGTGGCAGGAGTTGAGGAGAGGCTGTTCAGGGAAGAGCAGATCTGCTCACGTTTCTGGGAGCCTGCTCCTCAGGAAGGATCAGCGACATGGCGGAGTCTTACCGTCCTTTCTTGATGACCTCTCTCCCAAGCAGGGGTCCCAGAACAGGATCAACGGACTCTTCTAGGTTTTCGATCAACACCATGTCTCCAGCCTCCAGGGCACGCTCTAGGGTTTGGAGATAGCTGGGGAGAGAGTTGAGCAGTATGAGCCTGTGGCAAGGTACAGATGCACAGGAAATGTAGCAGGACAACTGGGGCCTCCATGGAAGACGTGGGGGTGCAGCTGCCTGGGCTGACCTCAGTGGGCCCATTTTTCTCTATTTAAAAGGATATTTATTTGATCTTGTACAGTTTCAGAAATAAGGAAACATGACAAAATACAACAAAGGACACAAAAATGAATGTGACCCTTTCATTGGTCATTGGTATTTTCGTGTTGAATGTGTATGTTTGGATATATTATATTTTCAAGTTGATTCCTTTTATTATATTTTATTTATAATTTAATTTATATTTGCATTTATATTTACTATTGGATTCATACAGCACGTTTATTTTATAATTTAGTTCTTGTACATAAAATGTATTGGAAACATTTTCCCACGTCATTAAATATTCTCCTGTAACAATTTTCTTTTTTTTAAAAGAATAAATTTTAATTTTATTATGTTATGTTAGTCACCATACAGTACATCATTAGTTTTTTTTTTTTTAAAGATTTTATTTATTCATTTGAGACACAGAGATACAGAGAGAGAGAGAGCATGAGCAGGGAGAGAGGCAGAGGGAGAGGGAGAAGCAGGCTCCTCGCTGAGCCAGGAGCCCGATGTGGGACTTGATCCCAGAACCCTAGGATCATGGCCTGAGCCAAAGGCAGATGCTTAACCATCTGAGCCACCCAGGCGCCCCACATCATTTGTTTTTGATATAGTGTTCCATGATTCATTGTTTGCATATAACACCCAGTGCTCCATTCAATACGTGCCCTCCTTAACACCATCACCAGGCTCACCCATCCCCCCACCCCTCTCTCCTCTGAAACCCTCAGTTTGTTTCCCATAGTCCACAGTCTCTCATGGTTCATTTCCCCTGAGCCAAATGACCTGAGCCAAAACCAAGAGTTGGAGGCTCAACCAACTGAGCCACCCAGCCGCCCCTAGGAAGGAATGTTTTAATCAAAGTGTGGGGAATAGGCTAGGATGAGATTATCTGGTCCATAACACAGATAAACATATACCCTGGTATATCTTGGGATTCATTTCTCCTCTTAGACTCTCTAGAAGAAGGGATCCATTCTGGTAGTTTATATTTGCTTTGTTTAACTATTTTTGTAACATTGCGTGTTTGATTTAAACAATGCTGGCTGATCTGGACCTCTGGGCAGCCACGTTTGGGACAGATGACCAGAGCAGTAAGCCTCACCTTGGCGGCTGAGTGCTGGAAAGGATAAACCTTGGATTTCTAGCTGAGGACCACCTGCTTCAAACACTGCCTCCATCAGTTTTAAAAAATATTTAATAAATTAATTCACAATTGCGGTGAAATGTACTCCATAACATACAACCTGCCATCTTCGCTGCTTCTAACTGTCCAGCTCAGGGGCACCAAGCACATTCACACTGTTGTCACCACCATCCGTCTCCAGAAGTTTTCCATCTTGCAAAACTGCAACTCTGTACCCCTTAACTAATGACTCTCCATACCCATCCTCTCAGCCCCCTGGGAACAACATTCTGCTTTCTGTCTCTGTGGATTTGACAACTCTAGGAACCTCATATAAGTAGAACCATATAGTATTTGTCCTTTTGTGACTGGCTTATTTCACTCAGCACAATGTCCTCAGGGTTCATCCATGTTATAGCGTGTGTCAGAATTTCACTCTTGTTTGAGGCTGAATAATATTTCATCATATGGATATAACACATTTTGTTCATCCCTTCATCTGTCGATGGATACTTGGGTTGCTTCCACATTTTGAATATTGTGCATAATGCTGCTATGAACATAGCTTTTAAAATGGTATACTCTTGGGGCACTTGGGTGGCTCAGTTGGTTGAGCATCTGATTCTTGGTTTCCACTCAGGTCATGATCTCAGGGTCGTGGGATCAAGCCCCGCGTTGGGCTCCCTGCTCAGTGAGGAATCAACTTGTCCCTCTCCTTCTGCTCCTACCCCCGCTCATGCTTTCTCTCTCGCTCTCAAAATAAATAAATAAAATATTAAAAAAATTAATATGGTATACTCTTGCAGACATTAATTTGCTTCTGTGAACCTCAATTTCCCCAGGTGTGAAATGGTACCAGTAACGCTAAGCTTATCAGCTGTGTGGATTAAGGAAAGCATTTGAGATAAGGTCCCTAACACGAAGATTGGCACATACCCAACCGCCTCACAAATGATCTCTGCTCCTACTTTTACCCCCACTGCCCTGTCCTACCCCGCTCATGTATCCTGATGGCACAGAATAAGAACTGAGAACTGAAAATACCAAGCTAGGTTCTAACACAGTTAATGAAGCCATGAGGGGGGAGGTGTGGAGGCCTGGGGCGGGTGCTGGATAGATATTCTCCGCGTCATTCATGTCCCTTTGGGTAGTAAGTCCCCCGTCGGGTACGTGTGAGGCCACATGGCAGGTACCAGGGCTCTCGAAGGTTCACAACTGACTTGGGGGCTGTGCATCCAACTGCAATGTCCCATCGTTCCCCAGGAGAGACAATGTTTAGGTTTGTGCTATGGGGCTCTGGGCCGGAAGTGGGAACACTGGGCGGAGAAGTGGGCTCTAGGATGGGCTGCGACAGGCACAGTTTGGCTAAATGTGAGGGAGACTTTGTGAAACCCAGAATTGTGCCTGACCAGGGAGGACGTGTCCAAGGAGAGAAGGGAGGGGCATGCTGGACGGTGAAGACAGGACTCCTGATGGGTCGGGAGGCTCACGCACGCGCACGCACGCACACGCACGCACGCACACAGGTGTGTACACACACACGCACGCACGCACACACATGCACGCACACAGGTGTGTACACACACACGCACACTCACGCACGCGCACACGGGTGTGTACACACACTCACGCACACACACGCACAGGTGTGTGCACACACACTCACGCACACACACGATTTCTCATGACAAAGAAAAGCAGAGACTTGGTACCCACGCATCTTTCATTGGGAGGTTTCCCAAAATGGGAAGAGAAACAGGAGAAACCTTGTGGAGGAGGCAGGAGGGTAGAAACAACCCACTGGGGCCTAAGATCCCCTCCTGACACTTTTTTGTGCCCTCTGCACACACGACAAAAAGGGAGAAGCGATGTGCTCAGCCACCTACCCCTTCTGGCCGATCTGGGTGACCTGGAGGTTCTTGCCGTATTTGTTCTTGATCCACTTGCTGCCTTGCAGCTGCGGGTCAACCATGAGGGGCCAGCGCTCACAGCTGAGGAGGATGGTGGCATTCTCCGTGGACATGCGGTCCGCCGGGAGGCCCTGGTTCTGCCAGGCTGCCACATCGGCATCATCCGTCAGCATCCTTAGGGGATCCAGGGTCGGGGTGACGGGGATGGGGACCTGATGAGGCAGAAGCAGGACACACGCTCAGAGCAGAAGCGGGCTTCCTCAGCTGGGGGAACAGGGCGGACGCCCAGGAGCTCCCGAAGTTGGCACAGCTCCTTCAAAAGCACGATCAAAATCCCCCCAGAAGAGTGCTTTCTGGTTTCCTGATTATTTCTGGAAGCAGGTTTTCTTCAAGTCCTGAGAGCCTTTTTTTCTCTTGATGGAGGAACAGCAGCAGAGATCCGGCCTCTGTGACCCTTTGTTCTTGGGTATACTCGCCTAAATTGAATTTCTAGCATAGATTATGTGTGTATTATCAACAGTCTCCTCCCTGCCCTTACTCGTGTTAATAGGGTCCCTTTCCCCCTGCGTTCTGATTCTCGTGCATGCTTTCTGGAGCAGATCCCAGGCCTGCTGGGCTTACCCCCACCTGTGCCAGCCCACATCACCCTTTCCGTCATGCACGGCACTCATCACCTGCTGACAGAGGCCCAGCTTGCAAAGAACCGGAGATGCTCCCCTTTCTCCCAGTCCAGAACACTCCCCACTTCTGGGGTCGCCCGCATGACCTCTCGCTGCAGACTCGCTTGCTGGTGCATGCTGGGAAGCCCGCCAGCGCACCTCCGGGCCTGAGGATGCCTCCCTGGGACCTGGTTCCCTCTGTGGCCCCCGTGTGTGCCCCAGATCCCTCCTTTTCTTTTTCTGTTGACCTCTCTCAGCTCATTCAATTCTTCTACAGCTAATATTTTCCACTGGGGACACGCATACTTTTTTAATCAGGGTAAAATCCATGTCACTTAAATGAACCATTTTAGAGTGCACGATTCAGTGGCATTTGGTCCTTCACAATGCTGTGCGACCATCAGCTCTATCTGGTTCCAATACAGTGTCCTCAGCCCTAAAGGAACCCCATACCCTTTGGCAGGCCCTCCTCATTGCCCTCTACCCCAGCTCCCAGCAACCACTAGTCTACTTTCTATTTACCTCTTCTGAATAGTTCACATAAATGGAGTCGTACAACAGGTAATTTTCTGTGTCTGGCTGCTTTCTCTTAGTAAAATGTTTTTGAGGTTCACACACACACACACATGACCCTTTAACCTCTCTGTCCCTCTCTCCTCTGTGGTTTGTCTTCCCTGTTACCTCAGGAAAGCCTGTCCAATCTATCCCCTTTCCCTTAATCTCACTCACTAGGGTAACGGATGGCCAGCACTCTACCATCAAACAAACCCTGAAAGCAAGATCTGCCTCTGGAGGTTCTTATCCTGGGATCAGGAATGTATTTCAGGTCCATTTTATGCAGTAAAAACATTCCTGTGAGAAGAAATCCATAGGTCTCACTGGAGCGCCAAAGGGGTCACGGCCTAAAAGTGCTTAGGAACCCCCCAAAAGCCAGAAAAATCCCCACTAAGCTGCCCTTGAGCTCCTCACTTTTGTGCACCAGTTAATTGTCCTTTTAACAATTTCCTTTCCCATGGCGTCCAAGATAAATAAATAGCAGCTTTATTTTTATTTCTTTCCTAGTGCCGTAAGGGCATCTATGTATGTATGTCTTTCCATAATAGTTTTTATATCACTATTTAACAAATCATCAAGTGAATAAGATTTTGGGAGCTGATCTGTGGAACCAACCGTCACCAGACAATAAGAGTTTTATGTTCTGAGGATCTGCCTATGGACACATTCTGGAATACAACTCTTCTGTACATAGTGAACTTTTGGGCTGACGCACTGCAGCCACTTTCCGTGAACCTAACCTCCTCTACTGGACGGTGACCTTCCTGTGGGCATCTGGGTCTTTGAACGGCTTTTGTCCTCCTGTCTGGTGGAGAGGGAGGACATGCGGAACCCTCAGTGAACATTTGTGGATCGGGGATGACAAGTGATGAGAAAGTGGACAGGGTTAGGAATTATTCTGACTATAGGCTCCAGCCCTGAGCCCCTTTCAGCCAGGGACCAGCATTGCCCCCCCAGTCATCTCAGTAGAAATGGAGGGGTGGGGAGCAAAATCCACCCACTTATACTCAGAGGACAAGCTGAGGACACATGACCGAAGTAGGCAGAGCTGTTTGCATAAGGGTGTCCGGGTTCCCATGACCAGGATCTTGGCCCTACCATGGCTCTGAAGTTTGGCTCAAGAGCAGGAGACTGGAGGGAACACACAGGGTGCTTTGGATGCCTCTTGAGTTTTACAGTTTCGAGGCAGGCTGGTGGGCAGTCGATCAGAGTGTCTCTGGAGAGCCCAATGGAGAGGAGAGATGCTGTCCTCGGGGGCCCAGAGGGCAGTGGATGGGGACGTGGGTGAGCAGAAGGAAGGACATGGGTGCCTGTGTCACATGCAGGTGAATGCTCAGGTGGGAGGAAGTAGGCAAGAAGGAACAAGAAGATCTGGATGGTCAGTGTCCGTGAGCTCACTGGTAGCCACAGGCTGGTGAGGTCAGGAGAAATTCAGGCTGTACCTACTTCCAGCCGGCTCAGGTAGGGTCTCCAGGTCCCGTCCATGAGGCTCTGCCGGTATCTCTTCGTAAAGAAGCCAAGGTAGGACACAAAAGCTGTGGTGAGTAAAATGTCTCCACATAACTTGCTCTCCTGGTGTCGGAAGTTCTGCACGGCTTCTGCCCACCTCACGTTCTCAGAGGCAAGTCCTCCCACCTATGAGTTCAGAGACCAGACAGGAGAGAAGGCTCATCATCCCACAGGCTCTACATAGCGCCATGGACTCAGTCACAGAGAATGCACAGTGCACCTCTGATACCAGAAGACTCGGGACACCACTTATGTGGCCCTTTTGATCACTGGGGACTTGTACTGGCCACAGCACACACTCAGTAAACACACCTATTCTGTGCTGTGCATCGTGTGGGCTGCAGATGGATTACAGGCTTTGAGTGCAGGCTTCCGGGCTCTGCCCTTTATAGGCATGAAGACAAATACCACCCACCTCCAAGAGCTGGGGAGAAAATTAAATGGGATCGTGTACGTTCATCACCTAGCGCAGTGCCTGGGCTGCAGAACCTATTATGTGTTCTCCCCCTTCTCCTCGCCAAGTGCTGGGAATCGGAAAATAAATAAAATCACTTCCAGGCGCTATAAATAATTCACAGTGGGTGGGCAGATAGACACGGTAATTTAAGACAGAGTTAGAGGTACCAGAACATGGGTGTGCACAAAGTACCAAGATGGTGGAACATGTCCTGACTGTGTCTGCCCCACTTTGGTATGGCACACCTCTCCGTGGGGACCCCTCTCCGGGGAGGAGAGGCCTCCTTTCTATGGATATGGCAGAGCTGAGTCTGTGTTATGACTGACCCCTCGTCCTTCCTCGAAGGATGGCATCGTAGAATGTCACAGCTGAATGGGCCAACCCAATCATTCCCATGCCTGTTTTTAGATGACACAGATGAAGACCAGAATGTTTAAGTATCACGCCAGGACCTCTAGGTGGGTAGAGACGGGGTTGGATTCAGAGCCTGTACACCCTGCCTGCCTTCCAAGGGGGCCAATTCAGAAAATGCTTCACCCAGGCAAAGAAGGCTCTGCTAAGTTCTGCAAACGAAACAGAAAACGGGATGGAAGACAGGCCAGCTAAGAGGTCTGGAATGCTTCTTGCCTCTTTGCGGAAGAGCTATCTCTAAACTGAATTGTTCAGTTCAAATGATCATCTCAACGCAATGCAAGAGCAGGTCCAACCAACAAGTACACAGACACACTCCTGTGGAAGAGCCTTTCCTCACTAAAGCACAGCTCAGTTCCATCATGTTGTGACTCGTTTCTCCTTCAAGAAACGACAAGAAAAAGCTGGCTTCATTTTAGAAACACATTGTGGCTGGAATAAAAGTAAAAAGGTATCGACTCCACCTCCCATCATTGGAGACAAAAGTGCTGTAAAGGCTCTCTGGGGAAGAGAAAACATGCCCAGCGGACACTGCTTTGCAGGATCTTAGCTGATTTAGGACAAGAAATATAAGCCATGGGGGATTTCAAAAAGGCTATGAATTCTTTGACACTCCCTTCAACAAGAACTGACACCTGGGGCGCCGGGGTGGTTCATTCGGTTAAGCATCCCACTCTTGGTTTTGGCTCAGGTCATGATCTCAGGGTTGTGGGATCAAGCCCTTAGTCAGGCTCCCTCCCCCCCACCTCTCTTCCTGTGCTTTCGTTCTCTTTCTAAAATAATTAAATAAAATTAAAAAAGAGTTGCTGCCTATGCTCTTCCTCCCTGAACCTGAGGCTGCTTTGGCCAATAGAACGTGGTGGAAGGGATACTGTGTTTGGCTTTTGGTCCCAGGTCTTAAGAGACTGGAAACTTCTACTTCCTCTTAGAACCCTTGTGCTTGGAGCCCTGAGTCCCCGTGTAAAATGTCTAAGTACAGAGGCCTGAGACTACATGGGGGAAGCTCTGCCCTTCTAGCGGTTCCTGCCGAGGTGCGTGGGACAAACCAGCCGGACACTCGGTGGCCCCAGTAGGTACCACCCAGAGCCGAGAACCTGCCAGTTGAAACCTGCCCAAATTCCTGACCCACAAACTTGTAAGAGACAACGAAATGGTGGTTGTGTTATATCACTAAGTTTCGGGGTAGTTTGTTAGCAGACACCCATGAGACACACACCCTGCTGTGACCCTCAGATTTCCTCTCTTAGGGAAGCCAGAGCCTGCGTGTGTATGTGTATGTTTGTGTGCACACGTGTGAGTGTACCCACGCGCATGGGCAAGGTCATGCTCACAGATGCTCAGGGTCAAGAGGTGTCATTCTTCTCTGCTTCTGTCTCAGTCCCTAATCCTGGTCATGCCTTTATCATCAAACATTACACAGTTAAGAGCTGCAGAGCTTGCCTATCGAGTGGCTAGCTTTGTCTTGTAAGGCTTCCTCTGGTCGAGGCGCATATATGCACGTAAGCATGTCACATCTCACCCCGCTGTCTGATAGATCAAGGGCTCCCATCCTCCCAAACGTCTCTGTAGGGAAACTCTCTTGACCAGACCAGGGTGTGCATTCACACTTCTCAGGACTCAGGCCCTGCAACCCAGCACATTTTAATATCTGCTCCCCCTACCCTGCCCCCCCAATCCTAGTACATTTTAATATTTCCCCCCAAGTCAAAGCGGCGCTAAGCTGTGCTCATCTATTTTGTACCTCGGCGGCACTTGACGAGCTCAGCTAATATAATTATGGCTCAGGCTGCTGAGGCTCACACTCACCAGGCGATTTGCAAGGGAGATGGTGCCTGCAGTCACTTCAGCTTCTTGCTGACATTTGAGTTTATCTGCCGTTGCTTTCTCGAACTTGGCTGTGAGTTTGGCCAGGTTTTCATTAAGGTGCTGTTTAGGAAGGAACACAAGGTCTATCAGTAATTCCAGCCTAAGTCATCACCTCCAGTGGGGCCGGGATAGAGTCATGTGTAAGTGGTTTTTAAGGAAGGCCCTCCCAGGGCAGGAGAGCTCTAAGGGACTGGAGAAGGCAGGGCAGAGAAGGACAGGTAGGCAAATTAGGGGTGATCTCAGGTGGAGTCCTGGGGGAAGCCTAGGTCAGTCCTGACCCAAGTGAGAGAGCTGAGCTTTTTCCTACCTTGGTCCTTGGTGTGGGGCTAAGAGGGGTGATGCACATGGGGGCGGGGTGGAGAGCATAAATTCTGTCTCTCCTTGTAGTGGAAATAAAAGGGTTGTAGGAGCCTGCCAAAAAAAATACCAGTGCGCTATTAAAAGCAAAAGTGCACCAAAGCCTGGGGTGGCCTGAAAATGGTCATTAGGATGCCAGGGGTCCTGGGAGGGTCCTCCCACTAGAAGTCTAGGGTTTGGGATTGGGCCGTGTGCAGCCTAAGTCCTTTCCTTGCTTTCAGGTCCTAGGAGGACAGGTAACTTTTGCTGAACCTCACCTATTCTGTCCAATTATCCTGAAGTAGAGGAGAATTTTGTAAGAAGACATGGTTTCGATGTTTTCTAAATTCATCAAGAGTTTAGAATTGAAGCACGTAGCTTGTGTTGCCCTCAGAATACATATTTGCATACACGAAGACATAGGGACACATGGTAGACACCTCTAAATATGTCTCATGTCTATGCAGTAACTGGGATTTGGGCTGCTTTGCTGGCCATTACCACGTCCCAAGAGAAACAAATCAAGGGCCAAGTTTATACAGCCAAGCAGTTTGAAAAGCAGGTGGTGAGCCATCGATTGACGATGGCAGACTGGCCACACTCATTTACTTCCTCTTCTTCCCAAGACTTCTCTAAAATAATTTTGAAAACATCATAAATCCTTAACACTAAGCAACTGTTGAGGGTCACTGGAGAGTGAGGGTTTCCAATCGATTTATGTTAGACTGGACTCACAGAGGAGTGGAAACTGCCAGAGGAGGGCACAGGAAGCTGCAACACAGTGCGGGCCTCAATTCACCAAAGGGGGCATGCAATGGGGATTTGGAAATGTCAGGTGGGATGGAGGGGGGTGCTGAAAGTAAGAGGGTTCATTGGAAGCTGACTGATCCTCTACCCCCATCTCCACCCACAGGCCCAGTGTCCAATGTCACCAGGCATTCGTGTCACCAGCAGGAGATTCAATAGTGGCAGAGGGAAGACATCACATTCTGGCATCGAGGATGCATCCGACATTATTCAACTGATCCTGAAAACAAATTCTGCCTCTCAGTCAGCTCTGCCCTTGCTTGCAGAGCTATAACCAGCTTTTGAGCACTACTCTTTAAAACATGAAAGGACAAGAAGCCATTTAATGAAGCCTAGATTAAGGTAAACAAGAGGGGGAAAAAAACCACCTGAGAAAAGAGATAACTTTCGTCACAAGAGCACAGTAAAGCATAAAACCCTTTATGAATAGTTTCCTGGGAAAATTCAAGATGTTTCATCCATAAAACAAGAAGAGAATGCTAGCAAAAGGAACAGAGGGGGAAAAAAAAAAAACTGTTGCAGACGTTATTTTCTTGTTAATGTAAAAAAATCATAAATTCAAGGGAAGGGTTAAAAGATGAATTTGAGGAAATCTAGAAAGTATAAGAAAACATAAAGTGACTCTGAGGAAACAAAGGACTCAACAGAAGGTCCAACAGCCAACAAACATGCATTCTAGAAAACAAGATCAAAAAGTAAACAGAAAGGAGATTACCAAAGAAATAATACAAAATAATTTTCCAGAGTCAAAGAAAAGAAGTCTCCACATGCTGAGTACAATGAATCTAAAAAATGGCAGCTAAGCACATCAATGCAAAGTTTCAGAAACCAAGAATAAAGAAAAAGGGGTGCCTGGGTAGCTTGATTGGTTAAGCGTATGGCTCTTGGTATTGGTTCAGGTCATGATTTCATGGTCATAAGATCAAACTCCACGTGGGCTTTGCACTGGGCATGGAGCCTGGGATTCTCTTTCTCTCTCTCCCTCTGCCCCTTCCTCCACTCGTGCTCTCTCAAGAAAAAAAAAGAAGAAAAAAAATGTAAAGACTTTCAGAAAGGTGGAAACAGTGCATTGACAAAGGAATGGGACCCTGACTGCTCATCCGACTTCTCACTAAAGAAAAGGGTAAGGCATTCAGTGTTCTAAGGGGGATAAAAAAAAACTAGCATCAGAATTCAGTACTCAGCATAACTGCCTGGTCAGTTTAAAAATCAAATAAAGATATTTCCAGACTAGAACCATTCAGAAAATTTACTTTTTAACATTTCTGAGAAAGTTACTTAAGCGTGAGCACCAGCAAGCAAGAGAAAAAAATCAAGGAAAGAGAAGTCAAGAGCTCCAGAAGTCACTGGAACCAACCCAAGAAAGTAGTGAACGTGTTTCCTCTCCAACACTGATTGGAACTCTGTGACAAGAGTGAAAGATATTTTTTTTTTTAAAGATTTATTTATTTGACAGAGAGAGACACAGCGAGAGAGGGAACACAAACAGGGGGAGTGGGAGAGGGAGAAGAGACTCCCCACGGATCAGGGAGCCCGATGCGGGGCTTGATCCCAGCACCCTGGGATCATGATGTGAGCCGAAGGCAGATGCTTAACAACTGAGCCACCCAGGTGCCCCAAGAGTAAAAGGTCTTGAGGGCAAAAATGGAAGTGGTAGGATACTGGATTGCATGGAGAGTTGAAGGGTAATTGAGGCTATGCAAAAGGAATGAATGGCAGAGAAAGAAAACACAAAGGCAAGTGGAAACTCCAGGGGGAGGGGGAAAATTGTATAAAAAAAAGGAAATGAATTAAAAATAGAATTGTTTTAAACAAGAAGCAGACTCAGACCTATAAATACAGAGAATAAACTGATGGTGGCCAGAGGGGAGGAGGAAGTGAGGGTGGGCAAAAGTGGGTGAAGGGGAGTGGGAGGTCCAGGCTTCCAGTTACAGAATGAATAAATCACGGGGATGAAAGGCACAGCATAGGGAATATGCAGTCAATGATACTGTAATAGCGCTATGTGGTGACAGGTGGTAGCTACACTTGTGGTGAGCAGAGCAGAACATAGAAACTTGTCCCATCACTATGCTGTACATCTGAAACTCATACAACATTGTGTGTCAACTATCCTCGAATAAAAAGAACTATTTTCTTAATCTCCTTTTTGGATTGTTCAATGCTTACATATAGAAATAGTGATTTTTGCTTGTTTATTGTATATCCTTCACGTTTTCAGAATTGATTAGCCCAAATAGCATTTTGTGGATTGTTACTAATAAATAATAAATAATTTCTATAAAAAAGGGAAACAATTCTAATGGACCAGTTAGATCTGCTATGAACAATATAGGAAGGTTCATAGAATGCAAAGGGAATTTACTGATTTTTCAGCTTTCCCAGTCAGTCAGTGAACAGAACATAGGACACTTAATTTTGGTTGCAGAACAGAATGGAGATATTTTGCGTCTCGGTGACTCAAAAGCAAAAGTAACAGTCAGTAGTGGTAAGAGAAGGTGGGAGGTGGGAGGTCGGAGGAAGAGCTGAAGGAACAGGTAATAATTTTATCTTGAAAACAGAAGGTTCCAAGGAAGCTGCCTCTATATGCCAGGACAAGAAATACAGGCTATGTCAACTAAAACTAGTTGTCATGACGTTATCAAGAAGACACACGGATAAACATCTTAGAGCCTCATCTGGCAGAGTGCCAACCTGTCTGCCTAAGGTATATCAAGAAACAGGGATGCCTGCACAGTATAGAGACAGGTGCTAGACATTCAGATGAGCCGGGGCCAGGAAGACGATGGAAGCTGGTCAGGGGAGGCTGGCATTGAAAAATACAGGCATTGGTGGGAACCTGGAACAGACCTGGGTTGGATGGGAAGGTGCTACTCAACTCTAGGATTGGTTCATGATATTCAGGAATCTGAAGATTTTAGGACCAGCCAGAAATCAGATTTTTACGAAAATCTCCTGTTGATTTAAATACTGGCGTTAACGAAATCATTGACAAAGACGGAGTGAGTGTGGGCCAAAGGAAACGCGCAGAAGCTACTAGTATGAAGGCTCTGAGTAGCTTGACCAGTCCTTTGAGACAGACAAGCATGCAAAGGGCGGAAGACTGTGGTTTCTCATTAGATGCCTTTCTCTGATATTTTACTTACGTGTCAGTATGAGCTCTGTGAAAATGCCTTACTTGTTTTTATTACCATTCTTTTTATAAATTGTTACATTAATATATGCTCATTATAGAAAAAAAGAAAATATCTAATACGCAAAACCCATCCAAAATATAACACCTAGATAAAAGTGCCACTATCCATGTTTTTATGTATTTGATAATTTGTCTGGATATACGCTTCCTGAAAAAAGAAACTTTATCTTGGATATAATATTCTTTACTTGGAATTATCCTAAAATCCTAAAAATAAGGCTTGGGGACCGGAGGAGGCTGGCAATGTCCTCAGGGTCACAGAGGGAAAAATCTCCTTGCCCGGGGTGGGCCTCACGTTAGGGGTGGGTATCAGGCCTCTGTCGTTAGTGGGGGGAGTGTCCAAACTCTTGGGATGCTGATAGGCATGTGGATGAGGAAAGGATGGAGAGGAAGTTGTTAAAAGCAAGAATACATTTAAAAAAAATATTTTGGCAGAAAAGAAGTGTCTTCCTAAGGTAGCCAAGTCTTTGAAAGATATGCTTATTGCTTTCACAGGTTGAGTGGGCCCATCATGTGAATGTTGGCTAGTGAATAGGTATAAACATTTTGAAAACATTCCCTTTGCACCAAATGTTCCTTTAGTTAAAATAACTTGAGTAAAAAAAGAAAAATCTTTGAAAATGCAGTTCTTAAAACATTCTTCTGGGAGAGACTGCAGAATACAAAAATTATCAGGAGGCTTTTGCCCTTCAAAATCAGCCATGGGGGTATTCGGGGGTTCTGCCCTGGGTGTTCTTTGAAGAGGGCCATTGCTAAGGTGATCATCACCTGTTTTAAGTAGACTGGCCCCTGAACATCTGGATTTATAAAGCCAACATACTGAGAGATTAGCTGCTTTGCCCAAGTATCTTTTCTTGAGAGAGAGAGATTGGTGGCAAGGTTCTTTGAACTAGTGCCCTCAGCCACAGAATTTAATCTAGCAGTCAATACACCCGTGTCATATGGAGCTCACTTCTCACCATCTATAAAGCCCTTTTTACCATCATGACCAATCTGTCGCAAGGCTCTTATTTGCCTGGTATGCGTGTGCAGAAAGGAAAGATCCAGGAAGTGTTTTCGACTGCACTTGATCACAGGAGTGACCGATCACCAGAGCTAGCATGTGTCTCGGGAGAAGGAGGGAGAGCAGAGGTAGGGTAGCAATGGTCATGGTGACCGTGGCAGTGGCCTCAGCCCCACGTGGCTCTGTGGGCACGCTCTCTTCTCCTCGTCACTATGATCTCAATAAGCGAGAGGTTACTATGTCCATTTTACTTCAGGAAACTGAAGTGTGGGCATTTTAAAGACCTTTCTAAAGGTCATACATCTGTAAATGGTACAGCTCGGATTGGATTTTCAGCTGCTCCCCCGTCCCGAGGGATTCAGATTTCTAGTTTTGGTTGTATCCGTTTTAAAGGCAAAGGTGAAGTTCAAGGGGGAATCTCTCTCAAACAGGTGTAAGTCCACGATCACCCCACCCCCCAGTCTAGAGAGGCAGATCGACTCCAAACATCACCAAGAAGTTAATAAAAGCTAGTGACCCTCGCCATTTTACATTTATGGTCAAGGGACCACCCCCCAAAACCACAATGTACTACTTGCTTCTAAAAGCTTCCATAGAACAGTGCAGATCACATAAGACCAATGGTCTGCTGGATTTGTCTCACATGGACTGTAGAGTATTTGAGAAAGAGCAGAAGGTGCCTCAATTGAAAAGTCAGGAGCTTTGGCATCCCACTTTGGTTCCCCTGCCTCTTTTTCAAAACCGGGACACTTGGGCGCTGAGATGTGGGGGCACATGCGGTTGGCACCAGAGGCTGCCCCGTGGGCTGGAGTGCGTGGGGGGGACTCCGGCCTCACTTACGGTGATTTTGGCTTTTATGGCTGCCAGATTCTCCTGGGCGGCAGTGAGGTCTGCAGTGGCTCTGCTCAACGCCTGGCGCTTGGGTTCCACGTCGCAGAAGACCTCGTAGAACCGCACGATGTTGATGACCCAGGAGCAGAGACCAGCAGCCGCGTACGACTTGGTGGCCACGAACTCGGGGCGGAACTCTGGATCCTGCAGGTACGGCCTGATGGCCTTGAGGCAGCTCTCGGGAATGTTCTCCTTGTCGAAGTTGATGAGGGAGTCCAGGAAACCGTCCACTTTGGCCATGGTGATCTTGGCGGCCTTCCAGCTCCGGTCCTTGGGCACCCGGCCCCCGGGGGCCGTGAGGGTCATCACCGCCGCGCTGACGTTGCTGACAGCTGGAGGCGGGGCCCCAAACGACTTCAGCTCGGTCAGGTTGGTCTGCGGAGAGAGGATGAGGTGGTTAGAGAAAAGTGAAAAGCGGACGGGCTTTCTTGCTCGTGGACTTGGGCTCCAGGGTGATCATTCTGAAAGGGCTGCTTTGAAGCCTGCGGAGCCCTTGGAAGTTTAAATGTCATGATGCATCCGAAGGAAACCAAAACTACTCCCCAGTGGCTTCAGACTACCCCCCACCGCCCCGAATGGCTAACCGAGATTCAGCTCTGTTTGTTCAGTTCTTTAAGGCCACTCACAGCCCATTAGAAACACCCAATTATTTCACATTCAACAGAAAAATAGAAGGATGCCAATATACTCTGAAATAGGCAGCATGCTATGAATAAAAGATAAGGTTATTATAAATTAATTTCCCATCTTGGATTGAAGAGACTAGCCCTGTAACCCAACAAATTTTGTTTTTCTTAAATTAAACTGCTGTGTTCCATGAGCTTATTCTAACTACACTTGACTGTCCTGATAGCAAAGTGACAGTTTCCACCAGGAAATAATTCAGACCGAAAGCTGGGCACAGTCACTGCCCCTGCTTAGATGTGGGGTCGTCCTCTGCTCCAAGCATCACTTGCACCAGAAAGATACGGCCGACCGGCCTTGGCAAGTCACTTCAACTCTCCAGGTCTCTGTACTTCCATCTATAAACTGGAAGCAGGGGGATGCACTCATCTTTGAGTGAAGCTGTGTCTTAAATGCGTGTGAAGTTGATTTAAGGTTTGTCATAACCATCCGTGAGAAGCCTATGACCTGAAAAGCTCTTGTTTTGGGGGGCTGATTTTGGAAGTGGGGGAAAAGTCCTGATTTCAAAGATTATCTATGCCAAATTAATTTCCAGCCCAAGAGGGCCTGGAAATCTACAAACGGTGGTGGGGGGAAGGGGATTACTTCTTGCACCTAATGAAAGCACGTGGGAAGATGCTCTTTGCTTCTGAAACTATCTTCACATTTGGTCATGGAAACTCATCAGAGGTAGGGATGGGAGGACAGTGTATGTGCGGGGGGGAGGGGGCAGAGTCAGGAACAAAACCCCATGATTTTTTTTTTAAAGATTTTATTTATTTATTTGACAGGAGAGAGGGAACACGTACAAGCAGGGGGAGCGGCAGGCAGAGGGAGAAGCAGGCTCCTCACTCAGCGGGGAGCCGGATGTGGGGCTTGATCCCAGGACCCTGGGACCATGACCTGAGCCGAAGGCAGACGCTTAATGACTGAGCCACCCAGGCGCCCCCAAAACCCCACAATTTTAAACCAGTTTAAGTTCAGCATGCTCAATGTCCTGAATTAAGAAAATATAAAAACGTATAGAGATGAAATGGAATCCTACAACCCAGATATGTCGCCGTTAATATTTCCATGTAATTCCTTCCAGTCTTCTTTATATCCAGTCTCTCTCAGTAAATTACTCACAGCCTTTCTGGTAGTAGTGACAGAAGACCCAGCTCAAGTACAAAGGGGACTTTTTCGCTCAAGTATCTGAGGGCGATGAGCTGGGAGCTGGCTGTAAGGACGAGCGGACCTGTGTTCAGAGCATTTACGGGCTCTCTGGATCTTCTCTCGTTTCTGCTTCTCCTTGCGCACACTTCTGTTTCACACAGCAGTTTCCTTGTGATGCAAGGCATACCACCTACCCCTCTGCTGTCAGCTTGTGCCATTGTCTCCGTCTGTCCCTGAGCTCCAGCCACGGTCACCTCCTTCCAGCGCATGGACTGCAAGCGTGTCCCCACCCCAGGACCCCTGCCTGGAACACTTCTTGCTAAGCTATTTGCGTGGCTTATCCCTTCTCATTCGTCAAGATCTCAATTCAGAATTCAGACGTTGCCCACTCAGAAAGACTTTCTTGTCAGCTTCCCCTTATCATTTTCTATCAGCACCCTGATGATCTGCAGAGAACTCAGGGCCATCAGAAATGATCACCAACTTTTTCCTTATTGAATTTCCATATCCTCATCTGAGGATGAGAACAGGGACCTCATCAGTCTTGTTAACCACTGTCACCCCAGTGCCTAGAACAGAAACTGGCATGCAGCAGGTGCTCATCAACATGGGTGTCCAACAATCACCTGCAGTGAACGGGGCTCGGCAGCTAAAGGTCACGGCCATCACTTTGCAACCAGAAGGGGAGGAGACTTTTTCTCCAGAGCAAGTGGAAATAAAAATGTCCTGGGAGGGGGCGCCTGGGTGGCTCCGTTGGTTAAGCGGCCGACCCTTGGTTGCAGCTCAGGTCATGATCTCAGGGTCCTGGGATTGAACCCTGTGTCGGGCTCCTTGCTCAGTGGGGAGGCCGCTTGAGATTCTCTCTCTCCCTCTCCCTTTGCCCCCCCGCCCCCGCTTGCATGCTCTAAATCAATCAATCAATCAATCAATCAATCTTTAAAAAATTGTCCTGGGAAATGATCTTGTTTAGTTAGGTGGGGCTCCTGTCGCCAGTCACTGCAGGGCAGCCCGATATGGTTCTCCTAAGAGGAACACAGGATGGAAGAAATAGTTCTCAGAAGGTAGACGGGGATTTGAGCAAGCCAACAGCCCGCATGCTTGGTTTCTGCACCCCACTCCTGCCATCAGGCTCTTGCTGTCCCTGCTGCCTGATGCATTCGCTCTTCTCCAAGTTTTTACTCCGATTTCTCCTTCTCTGTAGAGTCGGGTGGGGAGGGTGGTAGAGGTGGGGCAGGAGAGCCGGTCAGGATCAGAGCTCCAGGGAGGATCCAGAGCCACAGGGGACGGATGGTTTGATATCATTCTAACGTCCAAGGGGAAGCCCCTGGAGGGTTTTGCGCAGGGAGTGAAATGATGTGGTTTTGCTCCGAGAGCTTTTTGCGGCTGGTCCCACTGTGGCAGGGCAGGCTACACAGTTGTTCAGGGAGGTGACTGAGCCAGCCGGGGACCGGGACTCTCAACAGCAGAGATGGTGGCAGGTGACCGGGTTTGGGACATATGTTGGAACTAGCATAGGCAGAAGTTTTAAAAAGAGGCATGAGACACAGACCTGTACCCCTGAAATAATACATTATATGTTAATAAAAAATTTAAAAAAAAAGAGGCATGAGAGAATGTCGCTTGTTATTCTTCTCAAACAGAATTTGATGTCAAACATTCAATTTCTGGAAACCTTTCCACAAATTAACCACGTGGGTAATGCTTTGCGGGACATTCTTCACATAGATCTTCGTGAAAAGCTTGGATTAGCTCTTTGGGAACAGATTTGCTGGGTCAAAGGGCAGGGCACATATTTAGTGTTCTTTGTACATACTATCAGCTTCCCCAGAAATTCCAATTCCAGCTTTCAGTGTTGGAGAAAGTTTATGTTCGCTCCCATTCAGCATTGGTCACATTAAAAAAAAAAATTGTTTTTTTAATTTGACAGGCTGAAAATGCGGTAACATTGGTTTAATTCATATATGTGCATATACATATTTACTATACTGTTTTATTTCATGTTTTTAAGCAATTTGAGTTTCTTGCTTTGTGAATTGTTGGGTATTGACCTTTGCCTACATTTCTACTGGACTGTTATCTTTTTATTTTTGATTACTGTATTAGTCAGTGTCCCTGCAGGCCAAAAAGATGATATAACATCCTGGCTAATTTAAGGGGAACTAAGGAAAGGAACTCTTTATAAAGAGAGATTGCCTTACCCTGGGCTGGTAGCACAGTTGGGCTGGGTGGGGCTGGGGTGGCTCTGTTTCCACCCCTGGAAACTGCGGTTGGAAGAAGCGAGCCAGAGAGAAGAGAGGGAAGGAGAAGAAGATGAGAGAGAGGGTGAGAGAGAGAGAGAGAGAGAGAGAGAGAGAGGAGGGAAAAGGAGGGAGGGAGGGACAGAGTGGGAAGAGAGAGGGAGGGAAGGGGAGGGAGGGCAAGGGAAAGTGTCTGATGCCACCCAAGCCAGCCTCCCAGGTCATGGAGAAAATAGAACCCTCCCCCCTCTCATGTGCTCTCTCTCTCTCAAATAAATAAAATCTTTATAAAAAAAAAGACACAGAAAAGAAAGATAATGAGTATATACATGAATAGGAATATATATGGAAACAAATATGTATCTGGCTCATTCATGTATATACACATAAACATACACACACGAATATACACATATCAATCAGTTTATACTATTTTTTGAATCTGATTTTCACTGAAAATTATATCTGAAATTTTCAATGTCATTGTTTTTGTAAAACATGATTTTAAATAAAGTATGCAGTTTTCTCTCATTTAGATGAGCTGCAATTTATTTCACCAACCCCATATTGCTGGACATTTAGGTTATTAAATCTTTAACAGCTGCTTAAATGATATGAACTTAAAGACATTAGACACAAGTAAACCAAAAATCAAACTGGAGGTGATTTAGATTTACGTTTAACTTTTAAATTATTTGAGAAGTAGCAGACATCCTTGTAATACTGAATCTTCCCATACACAGACTTGGTATATATATTTGTCTATTCATATCTTATTTTATGTTCTTCAACAAAGATGTGATGTTTTCTTCACATTGTTTCAACAAATTTATATTCGCTTATTTGTACCTTGTGCTTTGATTGCTCTTTTCAAATATCATATTTTCCAACTGGCTACTGTTGATATTAAGAAAGCTATACATTTTTGTAAATTATTTTGCGATGGGCCCTTAACTCTTCCCAATTATTATTTTTTATAACAGGTATTTTATAACATTTACATGATGATTATTTTTCAGTTATTATTGCATTGGCTAGAAATTCTAGGACAATTTTTTTTTTTATAATGGTGACAGGGATCATTATTATGCTTTTTCTATCTTAACGGGAATGCTTTTAATGTTCTACCATTGGATAGGATGTTTTGTCCTTGGATTGGGATTGATTGCCATCTGTTAGCGCAATATCCAAATATCCTTGTATTCCTACTTTACTGAGAGTTTTGATAGGGAACGGATGCTGAATTATGTTAAGTCCCATTTTGACATCTCCTAAAATGATGATGAAGCTTTTCATCTTTGACTAGGGGGTTGGGTATGG